ATACAAAACCTACATATCTCTCTTCCGTAAAAATATTAATATAACACTTTTTCAATTTTAGTTACAAACATTTATGTATTTAATATAAATTAAATGATTCAGAATAAAATGCACATAAAGAACGAATACTTTACTTATGTAATGGATGAAAGTTATAAAGAATTAATACTTTATAGGTCATTTTTTAAAAAAAAATATTTAATTTATATTAAATAAATAACCTACCAATTTCCATTTTGCAAGAATATTACTATAACACTTTTGAAATTTTACTTACAAATATTGATATATTTATCATAAATTAAATGTTTGAAAGTAACATACCTGTAAAGAGCCGGTACTTTAAATAAGTAATGCGTATTTGCCCACAAATTATACTCCTTAAAGTTTATTGATTATTAATTGATTTATAATACTTTGTCATTCATTGGACATGTAGCACAAAGGACAAATCTGGTACAAAATTATAATTTCACTTTTTAAAACAATATTTTAATCGTTTGGACTAAATTTGCAAAGAATTAGTAACCTCAGGGGAGGTTAGTGTAATTTTTCAAACTACAGGGGAGGTCAGTGCAAATGTCAGAAACCTCCCCTGAGGTTTCTGACATTTACACTTACCTCCCCTGTGGTTTGAACAATTACACTGACCTCCCCTGAGGTTACTAATCCTTTACAAATTCAGTCCAAATGATTAAAATATTATTTTAGAGAGTGAAATTAGAATTTTGTACCTGATTTGTCCTTTGTGTCACATGTCCAATGAATGGCAAAGTATTACAAATTAATTAACAATTAATAAACTTTAACGAGTGTAGTTTATAGGCAAATACGTATTGCCTATTTAAAATACCAGTTCTTTACATGAATTTTATTTTCAAACATTTACTTTAGGGAAAATCGTCCAAAACGTCCCTCACATTTTGTAAAATGACTTTTCGTCCCTCACTTTTAAAAGTGTAATTTTATGTCCCTTACATATTCACATCAGTCAAATTTAGTCCCTAACTAAGTTTCCGATCATTTTTTTGCCGGAATCCATCACGTGCAAGGCACGTGATCATTTTTGAAGGGTAAATTTGTCAAATTATATTTTACATAATCTGATCTATAGTCCTCCACATTTTATAAAATAAATTTTTTCGTCCCTCACATTTTATAAAATGATTTTTTCATCCCTCACATTTCACAAAATGAATTTCTCCATCCCTCACATTTCAAAAAATGAATATTTCCATCCCTCACTAATTATGTATGTGAGGGAAACCCTAAAAAAAAAATGTGCGTGAATACATTTTGTTTAAACACATGTATATGTCTATTTGATTTTGTTTAATAATACGAATAGCATAAATATATGTATGTGTCTATTTGATTTCACTTAACAATACGAATACCATATATTATACGTGATCATTTGAATTAATCTGGTATTAGCTAGTAAATAATTTTGCATTCATTGTCAAGTTGGCCAATAAAGTTATTTTCGGTCAAAATACAATAAGAATATGCAAATTAAGGTTCTATTGGTAAATATTAGTCATAATCGTACAAAAAGAGAAGATAGCCCATAAGTTGGGTCCAATTACATACATGTGTTTATGCTATTATTATTAAGCAAAATAAAATAAACATATACATGTGTTTAAAAAAATGTATTCACACACATAATTAGTGAGAAATGAAAATTCATTTTTTGAAATGTGAGGGATGGAGAAATTCATTTTGTGAAATGTGAGGGATGAAAAAAATCATTTTATAAAATATGAGGGACGAAAAAAATTATTTTATAAAATGTGGAGGACTATAGATCAGATTATGTAAAATATAATTTGACAAATTTACCCTTTAAAAATGATCACGTGCCTTGCACATGATGGATTTCAGCCAAAAAATGATCGGAAACCTAGTTAGGGACTAAATTTGTCCGATGTGAATATGTAAGGGATATAAAATTACACTTTTAAAAGTGAGGGACGAAAAAAGTTATTTTACAAAATGTGAAGGATGTTTTGGACGATTTTCCCTTTACTTTATCACAAATATTTATTCTCAAATACATATTTGTATTTACTCTCAAATATTTAATTTTTGTTAAATACAAAACCTACCAGTTTTTCTTCCGTAGAAATATTAATATAACATTTTTTCAATTTCAATTACAAATATTTATGTATTTAACATAAATTAAATGATTCAGAATAAAATACTCATAAAGAGCTAATACTTTACTCATGTAATGGATGAAAGCCATAAAAAATTAACATTTTATAGGTCATTTCTTTTTTTTTTAAATTTATATTAAATAGATGACCTATCGATTTTCTTTTTACAAGAATATTAGTGTAACACCTTTTAATTTTTAATTACAAATATTGATATATTTATTGTAAATTAAATATTTAAAAATAAAATACATGTAAAGAGCCGGTACTTTAAATAAGTTATGCGTGTTTGCTTATAAACTATACTCCTTGCTTAAATCAATAAACTACACTCCTTAACTTAAATCAATAAACTATACTCCTTACTTTAAATAGTGTAGTTTATAGGCAAATACGCATATCCTATTTAAAGTATCGGCTCTTTACAGATATTTTATTTTCAAATATTTAATTTATGATAAATATATTAACATTTGTAATTAAAAATTAAAAAGTGTTAAAGTAATATTTTTGCAAAAAAAAATCAGTAGGTTATCTATTTAATATAAATTAAATATTTTTTAAAAAATAAATGACCTCATAAACTATTAATTTTTTATGACTTTCATCCATTACATGAGTAAAGTATTGGCTCTTTATGGATATTTTATCCTGAATCATTTAATTTATGTTAAATACATAAATATTTATAACTAAAATTGAAAAAGTGTTATATTAATATTTCTACGGAAGAAAAACTGGTAGGTTTTGTGTTTAACAAAAATTAAATATTTGAGAGTAAATACAAATCTATATTTGAGAATAAATATTTGTAATAAAGTAAATGTTTGAAAGTAAAATACATGTAAAGAGCTGGTACTTTAAATAGGTAATACGTATTTGCCTATAAACTACGCTCGTTAAAGTTTATTAATTGTTAATTAATTTGTAATACTTTGCCATTCATTGGGCATGTGGCACAAAGGACAAATCAGGTACAAAATTCTAATTTCACTCTCTAAAATAATATTTTAATCATTTGGACTGAATTTGTAAAGGATTAGTAACCTCAGGGGAGGTCAGTGTAATTGTTCAAACCACAGGGGAGGTAAGTGTAAATGTCAGAAACCTCAGGGGAGGTTTCTGAAATTATCCCTTAAATTTATCCTCTCTGTTTTCTGTTCCTGTTTAGGGTTGATGCTGGACCGAGTAGCTTTAGCTTGCAAGCCACTCGTACAGCAGCTCGGCTCGAGTTCAATTTGACTGAGTTCGAGTTGCTTGATAGAAGCAGCGAGCCGAGTTCGAGTTTTAATATTTTGCACTCGAGCCTAATCGAGGTTTTATAATATATATTTTAATTTTTATTATTGTGAAATATCAATAATATCTTTTATTTAAAATTATATGTAAAATATTAATTTTTATTACGGGAGTTTGATTAGGGTGGATTGAACTCGAATAAGCTCGATTGAGCTTGATTTGAATTGATTATATTTAATTAAGCTCGAGCTCAATCTCGAGCTTAGCTATTTTACCTCGAATAGTGTTCGAGCTCGACTCGACTTGAACGCACCCCTATTCCTGTTCAAGAATAATCTAGCAGCCTAACACCCAATAAGAAACATAATGGCTTTAGACATAATGGGTTTTTCCAGCTTTTGACTAAATCAGCTTAGTAATTGAAGAACTTGTAATAGCCATGTTGACTTGTTCTATTTGTTTTAGTCGTTTCAATCTCTTTATTTGCAATTGTACTTCTTGTTCATGAGGTTTCGAACACAGACTGAGGTTAAGGATCATGATGGCTGAAAATTACAGAAAGATTATTGCCCCATGCGTTGACCTTCCTCAAAAACTTTCCAGGAATGGCAGATGATTACTTATTCAAGAGTACAGAATGAGTGTCTAAACTTGACGAAAAGGAAAAGCAAAAGGAATACGGGGAGCCGGTTGTTTAAGCCTACTTCCCTTTCCTTATCAATCCAATGATAAGGAAAATAATGTCAAAATTATTTTGACAGTCGGAAACAATGTCAAAATTTTGATAGAGGAAAATAATGTTTCATCTAAAATACAAATATATAGGCATGTCCTTTCCAACAAAAATTGGGACTTTTTTTTATCCCCGGAGCATAATTGAAGCCTCTGGCTCCAAGTTCATCACTGAAGTTATTTGTCATGGCTTTCAAATCTACATATGAGAATCTGAAGAGCATCCCTGGCACTTGATTCAAATGAACTTCATCATATTCCTGAATTTTCATGAACTTTACTAATAGCATGAAGCAAGCCCCAACAACTAGAAAAATACCAAAGATAGCTTCCAGACTGGATCCAATTATAACTATTACACTCCTTGAATTGCTTTTAGGAGAATTCACCAAGGCATTGCTTCCCGTTGAAGTCTATTGCACCTTAACAAATAAAGAGACTGTTACACACTCCTCCATCATTTCTAAGGGAAAATACTGCATTCACTAACGAGCAACTCCCCCCTCAGATTGCAAAATGTATCCACAAGTGAATACCGAGCTTTACAAGAACAGTTCTTTAAACAGAACTCTTTACATTGCTCCAACTTCATGTTCTCACCATATAGATTTGAGGTACTGTCAAAGTAACTGATGTTTTCAAGTTCTAGAAGAGAATGATGCTGATGATGGTAACAATCGATTGGAGTAGTGAGGAAACATCCAATATTGGGTTGTCTGAAATTCACAGGTCTGAAAAAGCTTGTGTCACCATTATCAATTTCAGAGCAACTGCATTGATTCCTTGAGCAAATGCCATACTTTCCCACAGCATTGGGTATCCGCAATCGCCAGTGTATAAGAGATCACCTATCACTACCCAATCTCAATTTGACGAGGCATAAACCCTTAAATGTCCATCAGACTCTAATTTCATTACTTGGGCTGCGGGTGAAAGCGCGTAATTGTCAAAGCTTCCGTTCTCAAACTTAACATCAAGAGGTATAGTTGCAGCACTTAAACCCTCGTACATGTCTGAGTAAAAATAGACCTGTGGTGGGCTGCATTCATTATAGGAAACCAAGGTTCCATTTTCAACTGCAAGGGAGTATATGCCTTGACTTGAATTTGAATCTGATATTCGAGAAGACAGCCTCTGACTGGAATGAAGCTTCTGTCCGAGAACCAAAGAGTCTGTTTCGTGATCAAATGATTGCCAAACAGATCTACTCTTGCTGTCAAAGAGTAGTCGATTTCCCATTCCAGTCAAGTTTGAGCCTGCAACAGACTTGCCACCAGTACTGGTTGACCAAACTATTCTACCATCTGCATCTGCCAAGATCAAATCTCCATCTCGAGTGACATTCAAGGTTGCATTTGCTTTAACAGGATTGTTTCTGTTAGGAGACCAGACTACTTGAGAGGATTGTATAGTGGGATTGTCGGAACCATCCCTTTGATCTTCCGGGGAAATAAGGGCTCCCAAAATGTGAAAGCCCGAATTTTTTTGTAAATAATGTTATTAATTATTATACTAGTTGTTTACTTAGTTAATTTATATCTATACAGGTTGATGTTACTCTTGTTTTATCTCAACCACCAAGTGATAGTAAGAATCCACAACCGACTCACTTTCCATATAGCCTAAATAACCGACCTAACATGCTAACATGTCTTACATATTCCATCTGATCATATAGCGAATTTAATAGATGTCATGATAGAGAGCGTAGGGATTAACGTGAACTTGTAGATATTATAGGAGACAAATTAGGAGATAAAGTAGGAAGAGATAGAGGTTAGTTTGAGTGGTGGAGTTATTTTAGGTAGAAGTGGCGACAACTAACTCCAACTATAACTAGTCTAATAGCAGTTAAATTTTTACAGCGTTACAAGAGAAAACCATAAAAATAGAGAGTAAGAAAGTGTCAACGCAGCAGCGGAAGGAAAAATGGAAATCAAGGGATTGGACAAAGGAAAGAATACAAGAATTCGACTCCTCTGACAATGAACACGTAAGGTCGCGAACTCTTCTTTTAATAGTTCTTAGTTTTCTCTTTTATTAACCAAAGATTTTCATCTGTAGCAGCCCCGAAACATGTCTGAAATATTAGATACAAGTTTTTGTGAGTTTTGATAAGTGTTCTTGTTTAAATTAGGGAAATTCATAAGCCATGCGATTTCCTTTTGGTTAATAATAATACTCTCCTCGTCCCACTTTGATAGTCCTGATTTTTTTTTTCACTAAGTTCAAGAAAAAGTAGTTAACTTTGTTGGAACAATCAATTTAGATAACTATTTTTCTAAAATACCCTCACATTAATTAGAGTACAACTTTATGGGAACTTGAATTGATAGTAAAAAAAAGAATCAATTCTCATTAAATAGGGTAGGTTTATAGTAACAACAACTTATATTGAATAAGGGTATTTTAGAAAAATTAAAATACAACTACATTCTTCAATTGGAAAGTGAACTACAATTTGGGACAGATGAAAAAGAAAAACAGGACTATCAAAGTGGGACGGGAGTAATAGTTTGAATGTAGAAAGTCAGAAGAATACTCAAACCAATGAAAAAGGTGAAAGTAACTGGACCGTGCTTTATGTAATATGTTTGAGAGGAATTGATGATTTCTTTTTTGAAGCACCTCTGTGGTTCTGCCTGTCAATGGGGTTTGGTTAGAGAATAGAAGGAATTTTATGGCATAAGGGGCATTGGAAGGCAAGGCCACCATTTATATGAGTTAAAAGGACAAAGTATTGGTGGTTAATTCTTGGTTTTTCTGCTGGAATGGAGGAAGAAAATAATAAAATGGCTCAATGCCTTAAGATTATTCTATTCCTAAGTTTTCAACACAAATAAAAGATTGGCCATGTCTTTCGTTTTCGTGAGGATGCTCTGTTAGTAACAAGTAGGGGTGGGCAAAAAAACCCGCCGATCCGAAAACCCGATGAACCCGATCCGATCCGATCCGAAAAATAGGATACCCGATCCGATTTTTCTTAGCGGGGCAGATGAGGGTCCGGTACCCAAAAAATCGGGTACGGATACGGATCAGAAAAATAAAAACCCACGGGTACCCGACCCGCAGGGTATATTTTATAAATATTAAAAAGTAGGGATCATTTTATAATTTTGTAATTTTTAATTCTAAGTGCAAGTGAAGTGGCTCGCAGCCTCATATTCTAATTCTATATGATCTACTCTTCTCATTTTTTTGAAGAAAGCGAATATTCTCGGTGAAACATGAACAAAATGAAAATTTTTTTTTGTAAAACTCTGTTATAAAAATTGTTCATCCCTTTCATCTTTTTTATTTTATTCTACCTCCATCGATCTTTCCTGCAAATCTTGCATCAATTCAATCAAAGATTTTTGTTTGGAGTTTCAATTTTCTGTTAGCTAGATAATTAAAATATTTGTGTCATTCATTTGCAATTATATCTCTTTAATTTGCCTCTTTTATTTAGTGTAAGAAATTTATTTTTCTTTTTCATCACCTTAATACCATAAGGTCTATTCCAAAGATGTAAAGAAGTTGGGGAAGATTTTTAACATTATTTTGGTTATATTTTTTTCAAAAATAATTAGTTCTATTCAATTCTTTTCCGAACTTGATTTCACAATTGACTTATTTGAGATGCGGTCTTGTACCATAATATCTTTGGGGAAGTTACCAAATACTTATTATCCTTGTGTTTGTTGTGTTGTAGAAGTATGAAATGTGTGAAAATGGTGATGTACTCAAAATTATTATGAAACTTCGTTTTGTCTATTAGATATTCTAATATGTACTAAATTTATGAGATCGATTTGATTATTGGATGAAATGTGTAAGAATGGTGATGTATGGACTTTAATTACAATATCTCTACCAATATTAATTGGAAAAGCATGTTTTTTTTATTGAAAAACATGTTGATATTAAGTAGAAAATAAATTTTTTTTATTGAAAAATAGTTTTTTTTAGGGGCGGGTACCCTATGACCCGCCCCTTTTTTCGGGTACCCGCTATTCGGGTACCCGAAAATATTAGGAGCGGGTTAGGGTCGCAAAATGGCTGATCCGATATATTAGGGTCGGGTCAGCCAAATCATGTTAGGGGCGGGTACCCGACCCGTGCCCACCCCTAGTAACAAGAGGAAGGAGAAGACGTTGATTTGGTCTAGTTTTCCGAGTTGTTGCAAATTGCAAATTAGCCCTTGAGATTTGGGTCAATTAGAATAGGGTAGCTAAAGTATATTAAAAAAAAACTTGTATTTGGACTAATTTCAGATTATATAGCATTCCTGCCTAAATTGAAAATAAATTATTTTAAGAATGACCCAATTAGTATAATTTAGTCAAACCCAATGTTTCTTCAAATAAAGCCAATCTTGTTATAACAGAACCATTTTGATCTAATTGAATCCAGGGACTCTATTAAAAACCCAAATAAAAATTTTAAATCCAAATACAAAAATAAAATAAAATAAACAAGGCATTTTACATTAATGGCCTTATACATTAAATTGTGAGTTAAAGTTGATTATTAATAAAGGTTGATTTAGGCCGAAAGAGAATTGGGCTTTAGTTAAACTAGTATCACCTTTTTAGGATAAAGTCAATAATTTACCGGATAATTGGTTTAATGGATATTTTGTTGGACTTATTAAACTTTCCCAAACAAATATAATGAACATATCTTATAAAACTTAAAAACAAGAGTGTAGTATTTTCTATACGTGTCTCACCTTTGATCATGGAATCCTAGGGTTGAACACATTACACACATTCTTCAGGAAGTTTTGAAAACCCAAAATTAATTATAACAATCTAAGTTTTGACAAATAGACCCAATAACAATCCTAAAGATTCAAGATTTTCTTGTAAGTTCTATTTGACTAAAAAGAAAAATATGTTTATGGTTGGATTCAGCTCTAGGTCCGAACATATATTTAAATTGACTTTAAATAATGCCGGCCATATCTACAATAAATAAATAAATGAGTAAGTTAAATAAATAAATAGCACTTATTTTATGGATAATCAAATTATAGCCTCTTCTAAAAAGGGAGAACCTTCTCAATTAGGAAACTTTCTAAAAACGAAAACTTTCTATTTTAGGAAACTTATCAACTACTTTCTATAAAAGGTTCAGACATGCTTCCTAGGGTTATTCAATATAGGAATAAGCACCTTAAGAGTTGGACATATGAACTAATCAAGATATATATATGACAATGGTTATAGGTTTGAAAGGAGTTCTTGGACATGTTAAGAATCCCTTCAATCGAATAGTTTGAGGTTGCTGGTGCTTACGCCTCTGCATTTTCGAAATGTTAAATATGCATATTTTTCAAGTAAGAGCTTTATTTTGGTATATGAAGAAATGGATCATGTATGTCTGTTTCAAATGTTTTTGCAAGCACGAAATTATGAATATTTGAAATATTTTGCTATGCAATATTTTATGGAATGAGTGGCATATTTTATGAAACGAAAGAATGGTGCATGTGACGTGTGAAATGATTTTATGTTACGAAAAACTCTAAACAGTCATGAAATAAATGGTAGGGGCTATAGTTTTGTCTAATGATCATGGTAATCTGGTATGGAGTTCGACCGATTGACAAGGTCAAGGTAGTTCAGTATAGAATCCAACCAATTGACAGTCATGATAGTTCAGTATAGAGCCCGACCAATTGACTTATGTATGTAATGAGACCAATCCGTAGTCATGAAACCTATTATGAGCTATGTTTATAAAATGATATGATCTGATTGATATTTTTATGATTTACAAGTATGTTCAATGAATACGATAATTTCAAGTTATGTATATTTCTATGTCACGTTCGATGGGGGTCACCTTTAGAACCTGCGAGACTAAGTGTCACATTGGACGGAGGTCACTTATGTATATGCCACTCACCTTCAATGAAGTATATTTATGCAACATATGAAATGAGATGACAAATATTTTAAATTGATGCATGCATGTGGTGTAGTGTGACTGAATTTTTAAATGTATATAGTATGTATATAGCAACATGATCCAACAGGGGAGTAAGTACTATCTATTGGGTGTACGTCGTTCAACCCATGTCTCTTTATTTTTCTTGCAGATCAAGAAAGTCAGCTCGTGTATGTTTAGAAGATAATTGAGAGAGCTAAATAGGTAAGATAATTGAGAGAGCTAAATAGGTAAATGTTTAAATTCTCGGAAGTTAGAATAAGGCATTTTATAGGTGCATTTTAGTGAAGTGTATGTATTTCATTAGTATTCATAAGTTTTAAATTTTAGTGAAATTTTGTAAGTTATAATTATGATGCCTTGTATTTATGGGAGTAAGGTCTCGTAGATAGATACGGCATGCCACATTGCAAATCCGGTCCAAGAACCCGGATATGGGCGTGACATAAAAAGCATTCTGTATCAATATTTTGAGTACAATAGAAGCCACAGATGAACGTGCTACTATGCTTTCTCTCAGAAGGACGATACTAAGAATTCCAGGGTCACTCACTGTTGGATACCAAGACGAATTAATAACGGTGACTGGGTGATTGATCCAGTTTGTTGATACGTTGGCCACGGGGTAATATGAAGTTTGAGAGAGTACTAAATGGAAACACGGAAGGAAAGATAAATAAAAATAACAATTGCAACATTAAGAAAATAGTGATGCTGGCCCATTCTAGC